CTGATTTTTTATAATTTCCCATAAATTAATCCAATACTGGTCTCGTAGTCCAATCTAGTTCCACTAGGCCCAATACGAAATGACCGACTCCGAATCTGGTTTTAACGCAAATCCCATTTAACCAAATAAATACCAGGAAAGACCTAACCCTGGAATCAATTTCGCTCCAGCAGTTGCATCTCTTTGTCTAAATTTCTACTCACAGAAATCAACAATGGGTAATTTTCGGAGCTAAAATGTTCAAATCCACTGTTTTATGTTGAGTTGATGAACTGATTAAAGATTTATTCTGATTTGATTCGAAAATTGCAGGTAAGGTTCATGGATCACTGGCACGTGCCGGTAAAGTGAGAGGACAAACGCCAAAGGTGGCCAAGCAGGACAAGAAGAAGAAGCCCCGTGGCCGTGCTCACAAGAGGATGCAATACAACCGCCGCTTCGTCACCGCCGGTAAACCTAGTTCCGCTGACCATTTTTCCTTTTCCTCGTTTATTAATCGATGTGTTACTTTTCGTGTTATATTTTTTCTTTTGCACTGTTTATTTTCTGTGTTTTCAGTTGCTTAGATATATTATCGTAAAATGCCAGTATCATTTTTTTTTTCTTTTTGAAATTTAAAAATTCCGTTGAATATGTAATGTAATTAAAAACAAAACAAAAAACGCCTTTGGAATTCAATGTAATAAAAACAAGTTGAACATTTAATTGGGAAATTAAAATTCAATGTCACGCCTCATAAGCATAATGTTAGCCAAATCAACCTTGTATGTTTATTTTCTGCAGAAGAAATATTTTAGAGACTGACGGAGCAAAATATTGACACTTTAAGGCATGGTTTACTAGCATGCCTACAAATTCAGGGACCAACTGAACTAGGTTGTTAATCCTATTATTCTAAGATATGGCGGTATCATTTTTGACATTTATACGAATTAAAAAAAATCTGGAAATTGGTTTAAGTTAATTTTGGCTTTTGACAGCTGGTTATTGACAGCTTTGGCACTTGTGACAGAGTTTATTGCTAATTTGTTAAACA